GTGTTTCCGATGCCTGCGTATCGCAGGGATCTGCCCCCTGTGTGCTGAGGGAAAGATTTTTTACGAATGCAAAATCATGGATATAACAATGTTGAAAGTTGATTACAGACGTCCGGGATGTGCTGTGTGGTGGATATTTTCCAAGCCTGAATATTGACGTTGCACACTCCTCCGAAACGTCGGTAAACACCTACTGGACTACGCGGCGTCACATCACAGAAAATAGAAATTTTTATAATCATAGTCATAAGGGTTTAAAATGTCACAGAGTGATGAAAATTAATGCTAACTGTAGTTTGATATTTGTTTACCGATCCTGAAGATGGAGGCAGTGCGTTACTTTTGGACATCGCACACATCCCAGAAGACAACCATATTTACACTGACCGCCATGAAATACTCAAATCTCATACGGCGATGAAAGTTTTTACTTAGTTTCATTACATAATTCCAAAACACTTTCAGACGTTGCGGTAATCTGTTGTGTGGAACCGTGGGAGAAAATGCCGTCTCTTATATCATAAGACTTCATAAATGGAATTACTTGATGGTAAGATTAAACATTTTCAACATTATGTAATTACTAAAATCTTCTATGAATTATTACACCAAACGTAGGGCTAGGTTAGGCCTCCATTTCTACACTGCAGCACACATTTTTCGAACTGGAGCTTCTTAAAATAAATTTCATTCAAATAAATAAATGATCAATATGTTACAGAGAATATTTTAATGAATTGTTACTCAATGTTTGCAACTGCGTTTGTAGGTTAAACATTGTTAATAAACTGGACAAATATTGTGAAAATAACAAAGAAAAATTAAAATTCCCAACTGACATGTATTTTGATCAAGGCATTACAAGAAACAGATATATTCTTACGTTAATGAAATAGGTAGTAGTACATAAAGCTATCCCTGTAGAAGGCCGTGGAGGCCCATGGGGTTGTGAGACGTCGAGGACCTCATATTTCTAGACAATCTGCTCAGACGCGGCGGTGTGGTTGTCAACCTTACGCGCCGGTCGCCCTTTACCCCCAGGAATATTCCTGGTACTCATTTCTGTTAGAGACTAAGTCGAACCCAGGGCCATAGTGCGGCTAGAAGGATTAAGTAAATTGAAAAAACCCACCTCAGCGGGATTCGGTCCCGCGACCTTCCGGATTGTAACATTGTGCCTCAAAGAACTACGCTACGAGTGCACTATGTTAATGAAATACTAGATCAAATACTCAAGGATGTGACAGTGCACAACTTCCGTACGATGTCGAGTGGTTCAAATTCTGTAAATATCAAATAAATCTCGGTTTGAATTAAAATACATATTCTTTCCTAGACATGAAATAGCGGAGAATATACGTGTAGATTCCTTTATGTATGATACACAGAATGCCGGTCACGGTAGCCGAGCGGTCTAAGGCATGCACTGTCTTCGCTCGCTCGGAAACCGGGATCGTGGGTTCGAATCCCACTCAGGGCATGGATGTTTGTGTGCGTTTTTCTGTGTTTGTCTACAGGTAGAGGCCTTGCGACGAGCTGATCACTCGCCCAAGGAGTCCTACCGTATGTGTAAGATCTCGTAAACTGAAGTGAAACGGAGAGTTTCATGGAGGTAGGCCTAGGCCCAAATTGGGGCTGTAGCGCCACAGAAAAGAAAAATGATAGACAGAATATGGTGTCACAGCTGAAAGAGCAGTTAGAGTGGGTGGAAGACAGGGAAGTGGGATAGGCTAAATGGTCCTGACCTAAAAGAAAAATAATAAACAAATGTTTTCATTGTATCGCCATGATTCTTTAAGTTGGATATATATACGTACTTCCCTTTATTCCATTTCAAATTAGCAAAATTAGTCTCAAAGACTCCGTCTTTAGAGTCTCGTTTTTGTAAAGGTGTCCACCACGTGAAAGTCAGGTTGTCACTATGGGAAGGTTTGAGGGAAGCGTTATGTCCCTTCTGTTTCTCGAGTAGGCTATCTATCTATCTATCTATCTATCTATCTATCTATCTATCTATCTATCTATCTATCTATCTATCTATCTATCTATCTACAGTCTTCTTGTTGACCTTGGCCGCTTTGTCATTTTCTTAATTCTACATGCAGTCGGTAGGACTTCTTGGACGGGGGATCAGCCCGTCATGGGGGGGGGGAGCTACATCACATCCGGTAATGAGGCTGCGGCGGTATTGTAGATTGAAGGTAATTGGTCCACGTACAGTCTCTGCCTAACTTATCTCTCAAGTCAATTTAACTGCACAAAAAACAAAGATCTCCTCGTACTTAAGATAAATCAAATATCAAACTAATCATGGAGTGAGATTTCATGTGTAAGACGGGAATTTTCTGCGCCACAGTAATAGTGTTTTATGTGTTCAAGCGCCCATTTAAATAAAACCAACACTAGTCTTCTGAAAAGAATGTCAAATCGCGGTCAAAATCGCTGTCATGAACTGACTGAAGATAGCCGTTACAGGAATTACGGGATCGTATGTCTGCAGAATGTTCACATATGTGGATTTGGAAAGCTACAAAAGAGGCTCCACGTATTAGTGTGTTAGTATTGTAACTAGTACGGACCTGCAGTGCCTGTTAGAGAAACCTGTGGCATTATACTTGCTGAACTGACTCAGTCATTGCTTAACGCGCACAACACGATTTTTAACACTAAATTTTCCATTTTGTGATTTGTATTGTTTATAGATGATTCGCACATTAAAGTGCGAACGAGCTTTAGTAAAATAATTACACTAACTTACAATTTTTGTTGTTCATGAGAAGTAGATTTTTTACGTCTCTTATAGTCATCATTATTATCATTGTTTTCAATGTACAATTCTTCGACGTCCAGACTGGCCTTGTGGAGCAATAAAACAACTGCCCAGTGGGCACGGGAAGTTGCTGTACCGGGACTTCATGCGGACTACATGTCTGCGTCCAATGTTGACTTCAAGAATGCGTGGAGATATTCCTCCATTCCCCACATGTTTTCATGCCGTTGTGCTTAACAACAAAGGGACAGTCCTACCTTTATCTTGTAAGATTTGAGGCTTTCACGGCGGTGACTATGAAGAAAGCAGTCTTCTGGGATTTGGCACCGTGTATAAGTGGTGTTAACCGACGTTCCTCCGAAACGTCGGTTAACACCATTTATACACGGTGCCAAATCCCAGAAGACTGCTTTCTTCTACCTTTATCTTGTTAAAAAGGTACTCAATTTCATTCCTTCACTCCATGAAGTGTTTGGTAACAAAAAAAGAAGATTCTTTCTTCCTTTTTATATTTAGTAGTATGTTGTTAGCAAAGGCGCATTAGATGATAACAGGGTTAAATTTATGACCTTCGCACAGTTAATTTGTAAATATATTAAATAATATATAGTTTTTACTCTGAATTTTCAGAGAAACTCCAGATGTTAGATCGAAGACTCCTTATTTACCAAAACTCACTCGTATTACACCACGTCACATTTGCACTTTCTTCTGTGGAGTACATCTACATCTCGAAATATATTTTGAGTGTATAAGAGTAGTGATGAACACGTGGAAGAAATCACCCATAGAGTGTGGGATTTGGGGTCCTCACAGCGGTGGTTATAAAGAAAACTATCTTCTGGGATGGAACGCCGTGTAGTCTGATGAAAGTAACCTATGTTTCGGAGAAATATATCGCCTCCATCTTCAGAATCAAAGAATAAGCCGAGCAAGAAACCAGAATGAAAGCAGGTGGCAAGCAGATCCAATCTCAGAGCCAGTCTCTGATTGCCATCTGATTTCACTCTTGCTTCTTGCTCGAATTATTCTTCGACCCCGCAGATGGAAGCGATAAGTTCCTCTGAAACGTCTGTTGACTTTCAACCCTCTATACGGCGTTATATCACAGAATGTTGTTTATTGAATAAAATGTTGTAAGCTCCGTTATAATATACTCCTAACGCCCAGAAAATTGATTTTCACACCCACGTAAGATTACCACATCTCGGCCCATAGATAAGCTTTTACTACTACGCTAGTTCTTAAGTGTTACGTAAAAGTACTAAACACAAAGCAAAGAAAAATTATAGATGAAACGTGATTCTGATGCGAATAAGGCTCATTTCCTGGTCATACTTACTGAATAGTGTTTTCACTCAGACAGAAAGAACTACCAACCGAATAACAATTCTTGCAGTTACTGAAGCGGAGAAGTTTTAGTTATTGGGAAGAATATTAAGAGAAATGAATGGTTACAAGAAATAAAGATAACTGAGAATTGGAAGCTAAAATATGTGGGGTAACTCAACTTGTAATAACATATTAACCGAAGACTCATGAAAGCCTTTATATTCCACGAAAAGCAGAAAGATTAATTACTATAAGCAGTTAAAAATTAAAACATATACAATTTTGCTTTTACCTCATTTTTGTATAGGCGCGAAACATAGTCTGTTACCCTGAAAGTACGTAAAATGACGGATTTTAAAACAGGGTGTCGGTAAGTTAAGGAGACCTGAAGGAATTAACAAGAAGGTGTGAACATTGGTACAAAGAGAAACTTCGTAATTTGTACGTATTATTATTAATCAGATGATCAAATAAACGCGAATAAAGTGAGTATGACTTGTAGCATGCTTGGGAGATCAGAATGCATTAAAAATTTTGGTCGGAAACCTGAAAGGAAGAAACTATTTGGTAGACCTAGAGTTAAGTAACGGATTAATATCAGAATGGATTTTTAATATATGCTCGACGATGTGAGGTTGATTCCTCCAGCTCGGTGGCTGAACAGCGGGCTCTTGTGAACACTGACATAATACTTCGGCTTCCATAAAAGGTGGATAGGCCTGAGCAGCTAATAACTTCTCAAGAAGGTTTCTCTTCCACTGATTTAGTGTCTATGGTTGATCTGTGGTTATGATGTGTACTTATTACAATGTATTTGTACGCTTTGGTGGCTCCATCTCGTAAGGCGCATGCGTTGCAAGAATATAGAAAGCTGACCAGTATTCTTCGTCGCTAGCGATTCTAGCGGCAGCTGAACACAACCACTGTTGCGTACTGCATTGTCTACTGTGAATCCGTGGTGAGCGGATGTGCTGACATCAATATCCAGTGTGCTGTCTAGTTACATGTGTTTCTTGTCGTAAGGGTAGGATGAGTATCTTATGTGCGTGCCTGTGAGCGTCTGTGAGTGTGTATCACGTAACACGAAAGGAAAAGAAAGTAGGGGCATCGAGTGTTGGTAACTTTATTGCAACATAAATTACTCGTTCTTCTCAGACTGTAGAATGAAATGTGATAAAATGATGACTAATACATAGGAGTTATACCCTGCAAAAACAATTTAGTAGCATAATGTGATAGTGACGTTGATAATGTAGTGGCGGTATGTGTTGTAGGCTGGTTTTGACTGCTAATCTCAAGATTAGAAGCGGTATCTGAATAACAAGATAACTGCTCAGCTGGGAAACATTATCAGGTAAGCATGTGTCAAGCTTTGTGTGCACTGAAGAATATGAAACATATTTTGTGAATTCAGAGTTCCACGAACAACGCATATTTTGGTTCCTCTGAAGTCAGTCTACATTTTAACCTGTACGAGTATATAAAATTATAAGTGCTGAAATGATCTCTGACAAGAATCGCGAGATATAAATGCGTTTAAATTAAATTTAAGGGATGGATTCGCTGCCATTTTTGCCGGAAATTTAAAATGTTTTGAGACGACAATTCCTGATCTTTTAACTGAAGCTTCGTAGATTAGATTAATATGCCTGCCCCGGCTCCAAATGTAATTAAAAATACCGTTATGAAATATATTTAAATTCGTAGAGCGATAGTTTTGTTTTTAGCCTTCAAAAATGGAATGAAGTTTGACGTATCATGTATATTATCTAAGAGGTCTGACAAATTTTATAGTAGCAGACGATAAAATATACCCGATATTTAGTGAAAACAAATAAAACTTCGTTTTCAACTGAAAGATGTGACTGATGGTGGTGGCGATTGTAGTAGTAGTAGTAGTAGTAGTAGTAGTAGTAGTAGTAGCAGTAGCAGTAGTAGTACAGTTATTCCTGTTTTTACGCACCACATCATGAAGACGTATGGGGAAGAGAAGAGAGACGTTACTTCACTATAATGAGCAGAATTATTAAGATCATAAATCTTTAACTTTCTTACGGTTTAGTGGTTCATATCTTGCTTCATGCTCGCCAGGTATTCGGTTAAGTTCCGGGAGATTATTCTGACAGATTTCGCGTAAGGGAAAGTTGGGTAATTATAATGTAATGTCCCTGTGGCTAATTAATTAAGCACTACGACATGAATACGTCTAGATCCACGTATATTTTTTCTCTGCATTAGTTGGAGGTGAGTGGTCAGCTTCATGCCCCGGCCGCTTTATACCCACGAAAATAGCCTCCGATATCCATTGTATAAGGGGCTTGATGGGCCCCAGAGCCGGTCTGAACGTTATAGAGAAGAAAAAATCTCTCGCCACTCCTGGGAATTGAACCGCGGCCATGCAGGACGTAGCTCGTCGCTGTACCGACTGAACTATCCCGGCTTCTGTTGGGTAAGGGGTAAACAATTTTTTTAAGTGAAACTGTAAAGTATTACAGATTGTAGATACAAATATAAAAATTATGTTCATAAAAATGGGACCTTTGAAAAGCCATAAAGGAAATGATATATGAATATTTATGCGATACACTGAAAATGCGAAATCATGGAAGGCCTGTCGGCTGACAGTAAGCAGCGTGATGTCCAGCAGTACGTAATTATGCTCCAGTGATTTGAACTTAACGAATCTTCTCTTGTTTCAATACAGTGACAGGATAACATAGACCACAGTCATAAATTTGTAACAGTAATGTGATTAGTCGTGAATGGAGTTCATGGAGGTAGGCCTAGGCCCACTGGGACTGTAGTGCCAAGGAAAAAAAAAATGTGATTAATCAACTGCATAATGAGGAGCTTCATAACTTGTACCCTTCTCCAAGTATACATTTAATTAGAATGATCAAGTCAAGGAGGATGAGGTAGGCAGGGCATGTAGCACGAATGGGGGAGATGAGGAATGTATATAGGATATTGGTGGGAAAGCCAGAAGGAAGAAGACCACTGGGAAGACCAAGGCGTAGGTGGTTGGACATTATTAAAATGGATCTTAGAGAGATAGGATGGGATGGTATGAATTGGATTGATCTGGCTCAGGATAGGGACCAGTGGAGGGCTCTTGTGAACACGGTAATGAACCTTCGGGTTCCATAAAATGCTGGGAAATTCTTGAGTAGCTGCAGATTTGGCTTCTTCCCAAGAAGGGCTCAGCTCCATAAGTAAGTAATGTGATTAATCGTGTATAAGTAAAATCAATTCTACATTTTAAGCCTATTTTTGCTGCAACTCGTTTCATGTACTGAATGATAGATTCTATACATACAATCTAATGCAATGAATTAGGACAAGCTTGTCATGTTATATGTAGTAAACTGTAAACAAGATATAAGTTGAAATTATACTCGTCAATATTAGTTGCATTTGACGGTACTAATGCTGTGTATATGATTTGCCCATTTTTAGTAGACAGAGATGGAGAGGCATATATTACTACAGCTTTGCATAAATTATAGCCCATTAATAACCCACGTACATTGTATTTTATTTATTTGTTTTATTCATGATTACTTAGCGACGCTATCAGTAATTCAGGTTATATAGCATCTACTGAAAAATTATTAATGAAAGATTCGCTGCAAATAATGTGAGAGAGCGGTCGTGTCCTCGTTTGTGATACTATGCCGACATTAACATGGACTGAGAAAAAAACAGGAACATTTCATCCGGGAAGCTGGTGTCCTAGCTGAGATTCGAATCGGGAATTTTCCTCTGTTGACTTCTGCTCCGATTTTCCTCCTGAGTCGACTTTCAAAATCATCTTCATATTTCTCATCCAACACAACGAAACTTAGAAAGTGTCACAGTGTTGCTAAATACTAGAGACAATGAACAAAAGGAAATACCACTGCCTAGGAACTTGTTACATGTAGACTAGATATGAAGCTGGAAATCCGGAGAGGGAAAGAAGAGGAATATAAATTAACTGATCAGAAGAGAGATATTTTCCAAAACTTGAGATATCTCAGGTATATAAAGCACGTACTTCATGTATGTCTCAGATAAAAAACAAACTCCGTGGCCTATAGTCCGTAAGCGAACTATACCGACCGAGCGACCGCCGTTTGTCGGCGAAGTTAGGGCAACCTTCAGCGGATCTAAAGTGTCACTAAATTTAGTGCCAACTTTAGCGGATAGAGGGTGTCGCATGGTCAGCGTAACGGATCCCCACGGCCGTTAATCTCGGTTCTCTAGACCGGAGACGCTATTTCCTTGAAATACCCTCACGAGGCTGAGTGGAACCCGTTCCAGACCCACTACTTCTCAGAAAATCTGGTAGCGCCGGTAATCAAACCCGGGACCTCTGGATATGTAGCCAAGAACTCTGTCCACTAGACCAAAGAGGCGGTCATACTCGTATGTCTCAGATACGAAGGCAAAATTACATACTGAACTGTATTTTACTTCCTAGCCTCAATTATTGGCATCTCAGGGTTTTGCATGAAATACATCGTGTTATTCCGTGACATGAATGGGGAAGCGAACGGAATTTCTTTTTAGAAGGCACCTCATAAGTTCTCGTTGTAAATGTAGGCATATGGATTAAATATTTACTTATATGACTAGACACACTTAAACCACAAATCTCACTTCTTCCAGGAAACGGAATAATTTAAACACGAAAAGGAATTTCAGAATATTCTTCACTAACATTTACGAGTATAGTTGTCAGTCCGTATTTTCTTTCTCTTATCTTTCTTTATTTTAACCGATACCTAATTTCCAACGAAGAATTTTGTCCCTTTACATGTATATCAGTTTCCCTTAATATCCGAAGGATTACATCCGTATTCCTGGCAGAACGAACATTGCTTATCATCTTAAGCTTTTGTCGCTTATAAATGAAATGACGATACATTCTCGATAGTCTCTTGTTCGTGTTTGTGCCAAGTCTGTAGGCAGCATTCTGATTTATTTTACGAACATAAGGTCACATTCAGGTAGTCTGGGCTTGTACGTTTTTATTTTAGAGGCCTCTTCTAACCGTTACTATGTGCACGGGGCTCTCAAGGTTTTTGGATGTGAATGGGATGAGTAACAATTTAGAATTAAAATGAAATTATATGTATATATATCTGTTTTTCTATTATAAAATACCCCGAGGCCCTGAGGCGTATGCTCCACTACATCCTGCTTGATCTAGTCTTGCATGAAGTAACGAACGGAGTGCGTCACCTGAGTACTTTCCTAATAACAGGCATGCATAGAGCTTATCTTAGATAAGAGTTTTCGATTGTTCCCCAACCTTAAACGAACGATGGACTCTCTTTAGTATCTAATAAATGCAATCATGACCAATAACATTTACAAATGTAATTACAGGAATTAAGGTAAAAATATATTTTTAAAATGGTGGTAAAAAATGATTCTAATAAACTACAAGATAAAACATAAAGTTGTCCGTGTACTGAAATAACTAAGCACTACGCCATGAAGATGTCTGGATCTACGTATTGTTAACCTCGGAACTAGCTGGAGCTGAGAGGTCAGCTTACCCCCGGAGAAAGATCCTCTGGTATCCATTGAATAAGAAGCTGGGTGAGCCCCAGAACCGATCTGGACGACGTGGAGAAGAGAAAAATCTTGTCCCTACAGGGACTCTAACTCTGAGCTCCCAACTACATCATATCATTCTTCAAATATGGATGATGGAAGAGATCCCTGAAGATTGGAGCAAGAGTATCGTCTGCTCACCACATAAAAAATGAGACCAAATGGAATATCATAACTATGGAGGGATAAGTCTTCTAAATACAGTTTATAAAGCGTTAAAAATATTTTGTTTAAGTGAATTTCGCCGCATACAGAAAATAGAGCCCTTCACAAATGCCGTTCTGACAGCCTCAAATCCTATACCACAGCCTGTGTTTGTACGCTTATGACCCAGCTTAGCTAAAAGAGTATACAGTAGAACTTGGTTATAACGTCATCAAAGGGACCTAAAAATAGTGTCGTTATAAATGAATGTCGTTGTAACCGAAATGGGCACTTCGACAGTAGTCACGTAAAAATCTACCAAAAACCGAGTTAAAATGTTGCATTTTTTAGTGAAATACGTTGTTAAGTACAGACTAACGTAACATTAACGTGGAATTGCCCAAATGTGTAATATCAAAGACATATTACAGCGCTTTTCACTGACAGTACACACCGCACTAATACTGTATATTAAAGGTAGGCCTACTCACCAAATTACAGTAGATTATATCAATTGTTGTGCCTTACTGTACCTAGATACGAGTACAGCAATCAGTTATCTTCATCTGTTTCCTGTTACTTGCCCAATACACACTTTCTAAATTACGTTCAGTGTCCATATCAGAGAAATTCAGGAATGAAAATGACGTTACATACGAGGTTGATGCATTTGTGCATGTCGTACTAAGCAAGGTATAAAACAGTAGCTTTATGAGGAACTAGTTCGTACCATTGAATATTTGACGCAATAGACAAGGTGTCGCAGAAACCGATGTTGCTATAACCAAGTTTTAGTATATTTCAGTAGTGGGCAGTATTGCTTAACTTCGCCTACTTAGCGCTTATTTATATTAGAAAAACAAAACACACCAATAAGAAACGTAATTTTTGGTATACAAGCTCATCTAGTCCAATATATCCTCCTTGTTTCTCGAGTGACGACAAGAAACCGGAGTTCATGTTTTATTATATTATATGAATATCCAGATTTCCGAAAAAAAAACCCTGTCGGAAATGAACGGAAAGCCCTGGTCTTTCCTTCGGATCTCCCGTTGTTTAGTAGTGAAGAAGTATGTTGTGTGCCTGTTTGAGAAATGAGCAGCACACAAAAATTTCTCAAACTGATTGTCAAACATTTCGAACAACCCTATCGCTGTCTTTAAGAGCCGTGTAGATTCTGAATTGGGCCTCATCGATTCGGGAAACACCTGAAAGTGTTTTAATGTTTTCAATGTTAAACTAACCAGCGTAGCAGCCCTTCACTTCAGAACGTTTCCATAATATAAATGCCAGTAATCCAAATTTATGGTTTCGTGATTCTTTTCTGTACTAGGATACAACGCAGCGTGGTCCAGAAATTAATCCACCGTTGTCTTATACTTCAATCCGGATCACTCTTCATTTATAACGGAACCCTTAAATACTATCATTAGTCTTTCTCATTATTTCCCAAATAAAATTATCATTCAGTGTTATAAAAGTAAGCTCGTTAGTTTGACCATTTCTTTGTTCTGAATATCAGGATAAGAGTATAGTTGAAGTAATGTAATTGTAACATACTCATATGAAGATTACTGCAACATGACAGGCCCACTTCTGTAGTGTAGATTATAAATATTAGACGCCCATATTAAAGTGTAGCTTCCTAATACATAGAACAAGGAAGGATATAGGCTTTGTACGAACTTTGTTCACATGTTCTTTGCTAAACTTTGAATCATTATGTATTCTATCCGTCCGTTGACTCGTTTCTTTGCAAATTTTCAGACGTTTAAAATAATTTATATCTGATGAGTATCTATTATTCATTTGGAGAATTATCAGACAAGATATGATTGTAGTCACATTTAATCTACTTGAAGGCTGAAGTGAAGAAAATCCCAATTCTTAAATAGAATAGGAAATCCAGTTTGGCTTCGATCGATGATTTAGGTTGAATTTTTGTCATTGGAGCTCCCTTTAAGGGACGGTATCAATCAGAAATTGGACTTGGGGAAGGCTACCTACTTCTGCTACCAATGGTTGTTCCCAGAAGAAAAGAGTGAAAACCCTTGGTACATCCAGGAGTTGTCAGGACCTTTACTTCTGGGACATCATTACTGAATAAGGCACTGCTTGGTAAAATGTTTAATAAAATGTCACCAATTTTCTCTGGTATAGCTTACACCTCTATCACTTCCATAAGCCTGTTAAGGATTTCTTCATCGGTATTGAGCTTAAGTTCTTCTGACACATGACACTGTGTCGTTTGGAAGATAGTTACTCTCGTTCCACAGAAGTTTCCTCTTCAGAATAGAACTCCATCCCGAAGAGGAAATCAGCAGCTTCCTCCGAAACGCTGAACCTGCAAATATACATAATATCATAAACCAGTCGACAGAATTATTAATTTTAATCTCGTGAAAATCTTAGACCTATTCATTGATAAAGTAAGCAGTATTGTTTGTTATGTGAGATTTGAGGCTTTCACGGCGGTGACTATGAAGAAAGCAGTCTTCTGGGATTTGGCACCGTGTATATGTGGTGATACACGGTGCCAAATCCCAGAAGACTGCTTTCTTCAGTATTGTTTGTTGTTTTGAAATAGCTATGCGTGTATAATAGAATGCAACGTGGAGTATAATTACTATGTATAGACACTTTATAAAGCGATATTTGAAACTTGTTCTGAAAGAGTAACGGCGACAATGCCCAAATCTTCACGAGCTAGGTGGTCTTTGTATCAATATCTATGTTTTACTCTTTCGAGTAATTAACTTATTTCTGAGTTTCACTAGTATTTTTAGAATTTTGTGATCTGTTCATAAATACGAGGCACCAGTTTCTCAGCTTCCTCTTTGACATCCTGACATTTGTACTTATTACTGACCAAGAAGTAGCAGTAACGATTTCGTATTTCATTAAAACATTTGCATTAGCAGATATAACAAAATTAATGTTATTGTAACAAAGTCCTGCTCACCTCCTTTTGATATATACATCCCGTCTTTACAATCGATATTTTTGAGTCTGTAAGGCAGGGTATTTACCAACACGACGAATCAAGCAGTAAACTTGCATTGGTGTATCATGCCACTGTTGTATTTCTTCGGTCAAAACGTACACCGGATTTGTCATGCTGCAGGTTGAACCGTTTGTTGTCACGTGCTCCATATCTGTAGTATCGACCCTATCTATAAATAGTCGCGGAATAACCAGCATTTCTCGTATCGAGACACTGTCACGCTTAGAAAAATGTGTTGTTAATTTTAATTATAGTTTAATTGAAATATTAATAATGTGTTGACAGTCACGAATAACCAGTTATATGACAGTTAACCAGTCGTCAGTCATTGAATAAATCAATTTGTAAAGCAGGCAAACAATCCTTCACTAGGAATTAACCTAAGTATATAGAACACACTCCGTGGCTTTAGTCTGCACGTAAACTATACCTACCGAGCGACCGCCGCTTGTCGGCGAAGTTAGTGCCAACTTTAGCGGCTAGAGGTTGTCGCGTGGTCAAGGCAACGAATCCCCATTGCCGTTAATTTCGGTTTTCTAGACCGGAGCTGCTACTTTTCCATTTAAGTAGATCCTCAGTTATCCCAACGCGGCTGAGTGGACCTCGTTCCAGCTTAGAAAATCTGGTAGCGCCTGGAATCTAACCCCGGACCTCTGGATATGTAGCCAGGAACTCTGACCGTTAGACCACAGGGGCGGTCTAACCTAAACATATATGCAGAGAACTCATAAAATAAACCATTCCTTTCTGAAAAATGTTAATATCTGCTACTTCAGCTCAGTCGAACTGTTGTCTTTCTCACCATACTTCAGTATTTCAGGTTAACGATGTGTCTCAAGCTGACTGTACTTCTCAGCAAGTAGAGTACATAGTGTTGGCAGTCTTTCAAGGTAAATGTCCTCAAGACAGAGGGAGAGGCCGGTTTCCATGCCGACAGTTACATCCGGTATAAGGATTCCTGAACTGGTTGGTTTTGCTTACATTCTTCAGTTCCATTTGAGCAGTATGGTGAAGACGTGTATTATTCCGGGCGCCATGGCAATGCAAGTCTTCTATCCGTACCACGTACATTTCAAGGTCCGTTGTGATTTGCGGTTAGTTTTAGAAACCACACAACCTAGCAACCCAGGTAATAAAATACGTGCTTCATCTCGAATCACCTTGAACAGTTATTTACGAGAAGGTTTCAAAAGGAAATGAAATGTGAATTCACCTCCAGGAAAAGTAAAGGAGTGGTTTTACTAAGAGGTTCCCACAGAGGAGAGTGTGGAGAATACGGTCTTCTGGGATATGACACCAAGTAAATAGGTACCTGCACTTTGCAGAAACTTAGCGCCTACACCTTAAGATTAAACGCAGGCAGCGGGTTCCTCTGTAACACTGATACACGGCAACCAAAGCATACGTCATATTCCAGAAGACAACGGTCTTGTTAGTGAAGAGCGATAGAAGTCATTTCACTACTCAGAAAGAGCGCAGGGGGAATATTCTCTTGGAAGAACCTTCCTTTTTAATTCAGTTTAATGTATTTTTAATAAAATATTTCAATATCAAGCGGTGTCATTTGGTACAAAGTTAAAAAATGTACATCGCCATGAATATAAATAGGCAGTAGGGATAAAGCTCCACTCACTGACCTCGGCAATTAATGTAGGCTCGTTTCAGTTTCCGGTTGCTTTAGAATGAAAGCGCCCTAGACAGATATTGGACAGGAAACTGGGTGGGCCAATGAGCTGGTCTGGACGAAGTTGCGAAGGTCTCTGCCCTTACCGGAGACTGCACCTCACTAATTAAACCTAGCCGATTACTTTATTGATTGGTGATGAATTTAATAACGTGTTTCTGTCTTTCTTTTCATGTAAAATATGTAGTTTGAAATGTAAATCTAATTTACAATTTCATATATTGTGAGCTATAACTCAGTATTGCATTTGCAAGATAAGCTGCTTGAGGGAGAGGTAACATTAAGAAACAGGGTAAAACGTTAAAGATATGTGCTGAAGGTAAAAATATTCGACAGCAATAACATATTATTAAAGGAAAATGAAATAACGCCTGAATAAAATATCCTGTACCGAAGTTTGAACTACACAGTAAGCAGAAAACAGGCCGTCGATTTCCTGAGACGAAGCTGGAATGTTCAATTTTGTGTTCGGAACGGGACAGTAACAGTGAACAGTGAACAGTGAACCAAGAAGAAAAAGAAGAAGAAGAACTGTATTCCAAGAATGAGATAAAACACCGAAGAAGGAGATGCAACCTATATTCTTATACGAATAGTACACAGCTCCATCTCTTTGCCTGATTTATACAATTTGCTGATTTGGACTTGTTCTGAATAAAAACAAATTCTACAAGGAAAGAATTTTCAGTTTAGGGACACTTGGACAGCATAAAGAATTAGGTGATATTAGTGGCTTGCTGGCGTGATTTATGTGCAAAAGCAATAATAATAATAATAATAATAATAATAATAATAATAATAATAATAATAATAATAATAAT